TTACTTTTTAATTTCTTTTGAAATTTTAAAATATATTTTTCTTTGTACATTATTTATTTTTTATTTCTCTATCTTTACTTCTTGTGATTCCATGTAATTGCTTATATTTTATTTTTTATTTATTTTATTATTCTATTTTTTGAAACTACACCTCCTAATATTAGAAATAATGAGTCATTAACAAACTTGACATATAATGAGTGATGAAACTAAAGTGAAATTTCATTGTTGAATGTGGTTATAGACTTGTCATGTTTCCTAATTTTAAGTTGCAGTGGGACTTACTAATATTATGTTGGAATTTGACATATGTTAAACTATTTTTTTTTTGAATTTTGAAAATGTGTTATATTCATGGTTCCAATTTACTTATTTTAGTATTATTGGCTCACATTGCATGTTGTTCATTTTTTAGTTGGAATTGATAGATTAGTTTTGTCAAACATTTGAATAATGTTATGACACTATATTTATGAATATTAATTTATTTTATCAAACATGAACTCCATGATGTTCTTACAAAACATATATTTTTAATTTTTGCAAGTATCTAAACTAAATATTATTAATTTTAATATATATATATATATATATATATATATATTATTTTTACAATATTAGTTATAAATATCTGATTACTAACTAATGTATATTCACGAAAAAATATACATCTTAAATACCAAATATAATGTCATTTACACTTATAAAAATTTATAGGCATATATTTATTATATTAACTTTTAATTTTTGATAAGTACTTAATTTAAAATTTAATCTAATTGTGTAATTATATTTGTGCAACCAAACAGTAAACTTGTAATTACATTATGACAAACAAACAAGTCGTCGTAATTACACAACTGTGTAATTACTACCCTAGTAATTACACCAATTCCAATTACAGGGTGACTTTCCAAACAGACTCTAATTGTTGCTTAGAAGTGCTTTTCAAATTAATTAGTCAAACACAAACTATTTTTTACCAAAATTACTTTTAATAAAAAAACACTTTCTCAAAATAAGCTGATTTTTCCTGCCGGCCAAACATGCTATAACTTGGTTTGGTTTTTACAATGCAACGAGCTATGCATGATCTAAGTTGCAATCTAATTGATTAACAAATTTAAGTCGAATGCTTGCCATTCTTAACCAAACTTTAGAGATTAAGATCATGGCATTTCCATCATATTAAAGTACTGAGGTCCAGCACCTATTAACCCATTTACTACAGTAGCCCAACTCGTGCCACTGCCCTACTCTGCTTCTTTCCATATGAGTGCATCATCGACTAGAGATGGTACCCTAACCGAGGGGTCTGTATTTTAAAGCAGTAGATACCAATTCGATGGATTTGGTCAGTTTTAAAAATCTTTTGACAACTCTAGCCATCCCCTAACCTCATTCTTGGCCTATTTGCGGTAGGTAGAAAATAAAATTACCCGTAAAATATCTATCTTGCGTGTATAATTTTAGGAGTAGATATGTTTAAATATGATTGGATAATATGTATTTTCACTTTCATTTGCGATTTTATCATAAGATTAAATTACATTTTGATGTAAATAATATGTATAGAAGGTAGAACCCCCTCAATCAACGTAGTGACATTTATTGGTTCTACACAAATTAAATCATGGTCACACCAAAGCCCATCTTTAGGAGCTATGAGTAATGAGTACTGGCGTTCTATATATAAGCTATGGAAGCAGCACAAACACACTCCATCCCCATGGAATCTAAAAACACCAACAACATTAACAAGTCCTACATGGCAGCGCCACCATCGGCACGGCGTCGGCAGGTAGCTCCGCCAATCGCAACACCATTAATATCTCCCAAGCAAGAGCCTCATGATATGGCTGAGAAACCGCCGGCACCACCCATTATCAAAGTGACACTACCCACCCCAACACTGAAACAGTCGGTATCACCTCCACATATGCCACCGTCACCGCCACCGACACCGCATAACAAGGCTGTTACATCTACAAAAGACCGACACACCAAGGTAGAAGGAAGAGGGCGGAGGATAAGAATGCCGGCAACATGTGCCGCCAGAGTCTTTCAACTTACCCGTGAACTTGGTCACAAAACTGACGGCGAAACTATTCAGTGGCTCTTACAACATGCTGAACCTTCCATAATCTCCGCTACTGGCACAGGCACTACCCCTGCCATTGCCGTCTCAGTTAACGGCTCCGTCGAAATCCCCACCACTAAAAATGGCCCTTTAACGCGGAAACGCAAACGTTGTACTACTAACAGTGAATTTATCAACGTTAAACAAAGAAGTAATTGCCATGCAATTATGACTACATGCAGTCCTAGTACTATTGACGTGAAGTGTAACAAAGTGACAACTATTTTCGCTCCCGTTATGTCAATAGTACCAAGTCAGACAATACTGCCACACGTGTCAATGTTCGCTGTTCCTACAAGAATAAACTCAATGGCAGCAGCGTCACCTGTTTGGATAATTCCACAAACACCATTGATAACAAGAACACCAAGTGTAGCTGATCAGGTGTTGGCGGTGCAGCCTATTAATTGTTGTTGTTATTTCCGTGTTGCGGAAGTCAAATGTATATAGTATGAATAAGTCACAACTATTGTACCAAAAATTATGACAGCCACCAAATAATAAATAAGACAATAAAACAATAATAAAAGAAACACCAGAATTTACGAGGTTCGATTAATTTTGCTTACTCCTCGGACACAACCAATATTTTATTCCACTCCAAAAATATAAGTGAAATAATACTAAAGAGAGAAGATACAAATGCCTTAAGAAGATAAGAAGACAAATGAGAGGTGTGTTTAAATCCTGAACATTAGACCTTCTTTTATAGGGAAAAATCCCCCCCAACTCTACTTCCCAACCGACGTGGGACAATTTGACATCTTCAACAAATCTCCACCTTGACAAAATTCCACATCTTCAATTCTCTCTCAATAACAAATTTTGGTTGTGTCTTCATCTTCAATCTTCAGTGTTCAACAATGTTGATCAAATCCAAACAATGTTGAAACTTGACCGCAGTCACCACCTTTGTCAGCATATCAGCAGGATTCTCTGTAGTATGAATTTTCTTCACCGTGACTCCACCTTCTTCTATGATTTCGCGTACGAAATGATACCGAACATCAATGTGCTTCGTCCTTGCATGATAAACTTGGTTCTTTGCTAATTGAATAACACTTTGACTATCACAAAAAATTGTGATACTTTTTTGTTCAACACCAAACTCCTTTAGCAATCCTTGAAGCCAAATTGCCTCGTTTACAGCCTCTATAATAGCCATGTACTCTTCCTCTGTTGTAGACAAAGCAACTGTTGACTGCAAAGTAGACTTCCAACTAACTGGTGCCTTTGCAAAAGTAAACACATAACCAGTAGTTGATCTTCGTTTGTCCA